GCCCGACGCCACATGACATGGAGATCAGCAACCCAGGCGGCCAATCGGGAGCAGACGCCGGGGCCCCCAGCAGCAGCAGTTCCTCATTTCCCAACGTGTCTCCGCCCGAGTGCCCCTTCTTGCCCACGCTCTCCACCCATCGGGTCGCCGGGGTGGAGTCTGATGGCCCGGTCCACGCCCTGGTTAAGCACTTGGTAGAGTGGAACCACACGGTCTACATTCGCTGGGCCACCTATGTACAGCAATAAGGCGAGAGTATCCAAGGTGACATAACCAACGAGGCGAGGTGGCCGACCGAGCGACTGCTCCCCTTCCTGGACGCGGTGTATGGAGAGGCAATCCCAGCGAACGGACACCCCCCGCGCGTCCCATGGGACGGGCAGCGCGCCGCAGCTGCCAGGGTGGTCTCACACCTGGCGGGCAAGAGCCAGAAGTACAAAGAATAATGGGATCGCTATGCAGACAACCTCACCGACCAGAAGGGGCAGTGCCCCTTCCGACAGCCGTTCCACATCCTCCTGGCCTTCCTGACAAGGTTGGAAGGCTCCGCACTGGCCAGGGGCACCATCAACCACCTCGCCGCCCTGCCCCGGGAGTCGGCAGCTAGCAGCTCAGGCGGGGATGAGTCACCAGCAGCCAGCTGGCTCAACAGGACCACCAGCAGCAAAGAACCCCCCGCGGTGGACCGCCGGGTGGAAGCGCAAGGAGTATCCCCGACCCGCACCGTCGCGACACCCCCACAGCTTGCTGGGGCTGACAGGATTCCTGTACCCCAGGCAGAGGGACAAACCCCACTGGGGCTTTGCAAGGGCGAAGGCGACGTGGAAGGGGCTGACTGGGGAGAAGAGGGGGGCAGGAAATCCGAGTCCGACGTCTACGTGCCGCGCTCAAGTCCGCACGACATCTCCGTGGACTCCAGCTCGCAAGTCAGCCCCGCTCACCCCGACGACGACCTAAGTGACACAGCTCTCCCCGAGGAGGACAAAGTGATCCCTGACCTCCTCCAGCTCTAGGAGACACCTCCCGACAAGACCCACTCAGAAGCCCGGCCCCCATATGTGCAGGCCGTTTCCAAGGAAGCAGTCCGAGATAGGAACGCCCCAGGCGACCTTCGTAGTAGGGGTGACCGGATCCGGAGCCTCAACGACGCCCGGGGCAACAAGTCTCTGAGACATGCGGATGGCGAGGGTAGCCGGCGACCACCCGCGAAAGATAACATCAGGGTCAGGGAACACCCGGCCACCCCACCCCCCAGCAACGTCCCTCCGCAGCCGCGCGCCGCCCAGGCCTCCTGGAATGACACACGGGGAACGCAGCCACCCGCAGAACACCCTGACGACCCCATGGGAGGCATCCCCATGTATACGTGCCCGGTTGACGAAGCGGACGTCTCAAGGGACGAGCCGGAACAAGACAAGATCTCACGTCTGCAGAAGACGCTGGGAGGTGCGTTCAACGGAGTATGGGGCGCCTGGGTCAGGCGGGCAGCCGCAAGGCAAGGGAGCTACTGTGCCAAGCTTGATCCCAAGCTAAACTCCGTACGGCAGAGCAGAGCGGAATTCGATGCCTACAAGATGGACAGAGAGTTCAAGCTCCGCGTCGTCTGGTCGAGTGTCAAGGATCGATGCGGCAGGCTCCTGCAACGCGACGCCAGACCTCGCACCTCTCGCGGGGCCGACAGCGGTGGCCGCCCACCCCCTTGGACCACAGCGGGCAAGTGGGCGGCGCATGCGGTCCCGCCAGATGAGCTGACTGGTGCATCTAGCTCAGCCTCTTCGTGGCGTGGATGGCAGTCATGGGGCTCGTGGGGACGCCAAAGTGAGTCATGGACCGAGACAGACTGGAAGGCGAAGGGCAAGCGCTATTCCCCCCGAGGAGATGACCCATGCGTTGACAAGCGCCCACGGAGTTAGGACTCCTGACCTAGATGACGGGGGCGCAAGGAGGGGCCCGCTCGAGACCGGCCCACCCCCCAGCGCGGCAGCACCTTCCGCCGTGGTTGGCACCCTCACCTCAGGATTGCCCGCAACCTCGGCACTGGCCAACTCCCTAAAAGCTCCAGCCGTGGCGACGCCTCTCTCGGTGGCAGTCAGCGAACCGGCGATCGCCGCGGCCCACCTCCTGTATCACCCCTCGTGCAGCCTGCCGTGTGCAGCTCACACCGTCTCCCACCCCCCCTCGGCTCCACTCCGCCCGGCATTCGCCGCGCCCCCCCCCCCCCCCTCTAGGACAGTTTCACCTGCAGCGCCCGGCCTTGGCCGCAATGCCCTGTGCTACCCCCGCTGGGGCGGAGGAGCGCCAATACCGTAGCGCTGCGCAGATAGACAGCCCACGCTGGATTCGTGGACCTTGCCAGGCCTCTCCTCCCCTGCGGCCGACTGGGGCGTCTTCGTCTGCCGCGCGGGGCCACGGCCACTACCTCCCTCGGTGGAGGCCACTGCAAGCGCGGGCTCTGGGGTCGTCTGCAGTCGCCCCCCCGGGCCCCGCACTCCCGCTGACCAGGACAGCCCCCTTTGGACGGCAATGACTGGTGGCTGAAATAACCCACCTCCTGCGCTCCACCTCTTTCACAGTGGACGGCAGTGGTTGGTGACCGACATTGCCCACCGCGCCACCTTCGCCTGCCCGTGTGCAGCCTCGCCCCCCCGTGGTCATGAAGTTCTGCGCGTGGGCGCCCTGCGTCCCCATCTTTATCTGTGTCCAGCGGCTTTTGGCTGCGCCCCCTCTTTCTCCTCCTCTTTTGGCTGCGCCCCCCTGGCTATCGTCTCTGCGGCTTTTGGCTGTGCCCCCCCCGCCCAACAGCGTAGATTGCGCCGGCCGCAGAAGCGCGTCCGCCATGAGACCTGCCCAGGGAACAGCGGTCCTTCCCTCGTCGCCGACCCGGCCATGGTTCTACTACAAGGACGCCGTGGCACGCCGTCAGCACGCCGCCAGCGAACGGCACGGCCCAGCAGCTCTACAGCTGCCAGTCATCTGTACGCCCTGGCGTCGGAGGTATCCGGCTTCTGCGCGGGCAGCGTGGCAGGTGTTGAGTGGGTGTGGCTGTCCGCCAGACACATGGTGATTGGCTTCGTCAACGTGAACGGCCCCGCGTCGAGTGGTTCAGCCTTCGGCGGTCCATGTTCGTTTCGCTCTTCTCGGTGCAGCCGCAGCCCCAGCCCTCGTCAGTACAATTGCATCGTTGCGCCCCCGAACTGCGTGAGTCGGACACGATGTAAGGGCGCAGGCTACCTGCTGGTGGTTGCCAGCCTCGTGCGCGCACACCATTGGTCCGCCTCTTCCTGGATGGTGCTCCGACACCCCTCAGTGACACTGGTGTTCAGCGGCTTTTGGCTGCGCCCCCCTCCTGCCCTGAGATCCGCCCTGGTTCCTCGCCGACCCGGCCAAGGTTCTACCACAAGGGCGTCTTGGCCCGCCGTCAGCACGCCGCCTACGCACGGTGCGGCCCAGCAGCTCGGTAGCCGCCAGCCATCGTTTCCCCATCGGCGTCGGGATTTTCGGCTTCTGCACGGGCAGCGTGCAGGTGTTAAGTGGGTGCGACTGTCAGCCATACGCCTGGTGATAGGCTTCGTCACATTGAGTGGCCGTGCTTTGAGTGGTTCAGCCTGCTGCAGTTCGTGGTCGTTTCTCTTTTCGGCGCAGCCTCAACCACCAGCCCTCGTCAATACATTGCATCGTTGTGCCCCCGAACTGAGTGAGTCGGATACGATGTGCACGCACTGGCTACCGGCTGCAGGTGGCTCAGCCTCGTGAGCGCACACCACTGGTCTTCCTCTACTGGATGGCGCTCTGACGCGGATCAGCCACACCTCAGCTCCAGTGAGCCTTGGTGAATCAGGCCTCTTTCGCCGCACCATCGTTTACCTGTGGTGCTGCAGTGAATCTGAATTAGTCGCTCTCGCTCGCGCTCACCCCCCTCTTTTTCCGAGGTCATGGACGGCCTGGTCCTGTGTGCACGCACGTGGGCTTCGCCTGGTCATTGGCCATTCGGACCCGCGTACTGCCTGCGACTTTTACAGTGCCCCGCTGTCCGTCTTGGCCTCGCTTCCGAATGCGGTTCGGCTGGAACTTGGCGCCGCAAGGGCGACTTCTCCCCCCCGTTCCGCTGCCGGTTGCCGCGCCTTTTGCTTCCCCACCAGCCGGGATGTCTGGGCCGGTCACCAGCCGACGCTGTATTGCGTCTCAGTGGGGGGCATTTTGTCCCTGGCATGTGCATGCGCCACTGCGTGTGTTGTCCGCTGGAGTCAGCGGCGATCTCGCGCCAATTTACATCGTACCGCGCCCCGGACGTTGTGCCCGCTCCATGTCCCTCGCCTTGGAGCCGCGAACCAAACGAATCGGGGAGACGGAAGGCTCCGGGTCGGGGGAATCGGGTTGGACTGACGGGGCCATCATGAAAATGACGAGACCCAATTTGAAATGTGACGCGAAATCCCGCTGCAAACATCCCACGGCAACTTGACCGTCCTCGGAACCCCAAGAGACCTCACCGCACGGTCCGTCCTACCGTACTGCACGGTTTTGGGACGTCGGAAACCCCAGTCCCCCGAGACATCCTCGGAGAGGAACTCGAGTCCCAAAACTGTGCGGTGACCTCTCCCCGCCGACTAACCACACGGAGTGGTCACCACCCCGTTGGGGGGCCCCCGAGTCAAAACCCAGGACGCGCTCCTCAGAAAACACCAGCAAACCCAAGTTTTGGCGAACTGGAGTCTTACGTTTCCACGAAAATGGGGGGAGGAAAAGCACCCTTCCCAAACCCCCGACATCGACACCCAGAAATCTCCACCCATTCCTCGGGGCTGGCTTTTCATCGGGAATCGTTCTTTGACGGTCCCGAAACCCGGTAAGTGCCCCCAGAAGCCAAAAATAACAAAGACCGCGCCGAGGACTAGGAACAGGAAAATGAAAAGGAGGAAAAGAAGGAGGAAGAGGAGGAGGAAGAGGAGGAGGAGGAGGAGGAACCCCCAGTGGCCAAAAACAACGAAACCGGCCACCGCCTGCTCCAGCGGGGCCCGCAGCAGGGCCGTCGGCCGGGAGATCCTGGCGCGCGGCGGGTTTCGGCGCGGCCGCACCCCCCTCGAGGAGGGGATGCCCGTGCGCTTGGGTCCCCTTCGGCGACTTCGACATGCGTGGTTTGCAAAGGTGCGGGTTGCAAACCGAACCCTGCGGGGCGGGCGAGGACCTCGGCGAAGTTCTCCGCCGCGCCCCGGCGAGAGCAACGTGGCACCCCTGAAACCCCATCGACGCAGATCGCAAACCGCACCGTGCCACTTGTGGTCGCCAACCCCCGGTGGTTTCGTGACACCCTGGCGTAATAATTTTTCCGCGATGAGCGATTCGGTCCTGCTGCGGGCCCGAAGACCATAACATGTCGATCGGGCTCGAAAAGTGCTGCAAGAAAATGGGGCCCAGGGCTCCGGCCGTGACTGTTTCGCGATGCGTGGCGTGGCGGCTGCCTCGTGCAAAGAAAATGCGTCGTCCATGAGCTTGTCCCGATCCCGCTTGACGTTTTGATTCTCGAGGCCGTCGGGGACCTGTGCTGATTGTTGTTGTTGTCCCCGACCCCATCTCGGACCCTGGGCCTGAACGAGAACTGGAATGTGGCCCCGCGGCTCACGGCTGGGAATTACCTGCAGCTTTCTACCCGTGGTATGGTTGGGGCTATCACAACATACCTATACGACCACCCTGCGGGTGATAAGGAAATGAGGGGGGAGGGGGAACCAACGTCTCACTCCATCGATGTCGCTATCGATATCACAATCGATTTCACGTTCGATCTCACTATCGATATCACTATCGATTTCGCTATCGATCTCACTATCGATCTCACAATCGATCTCACAATCGATCTCACATTCGGTCTCATATTCGGTCTCACTGTCGGCCTCACAATCGATCTCACAATCGATCTCACAGTCGATCTCACACTCGGTCTCACATTCGGTCTCACTACCCATCTCACTAACGATCGCACAATCGATCTCACTATCGATCCCACATTCGGTTTCACATTCGGTCTCACTATCGATCCCACAATCGATCTCACTCTCGATCTCACAATCGATCTCACTATCGATATCACAATCGATTTCGCAATCGATCTCACATTCGGTCTCACAATCGAACTCTCATTCGGTCTAGGTTGGGGAGAGGGGCCCAGCAATGGGCAACATCGTATTTTTTCCTTCCTCTTTCGAGCTCGCGCCGACATCCGAAGGCACCACTAGCCGAAACAGGGCAAACGTCTGGAAAGCCAGCGAAAGTGCGCCTCATGTGGTCAGGGAATACGGAAGCGCTGGCAAAGCCTGGCGCAGCCCGTAACCCCTGCACTCATTTCTTGCTCGGCAACGTTGCTTGGCTCTCCTCCGCGCGGTGTGCCAAGCGCCGGTCAGCGTCCGCGTGTGCCGTGTGCAGCGAGACGAGGCGGAACTGCGACACACTGGCAAAGTCTGGTGCGGGCGTCCGGCTTCCGGCCGCAGCGAAAACAGCGCCGGAGCTCCCGGCAATTTTCCCTCGGCAGCCCCTTCCAGCAACGACCGAGGATCGACGACCGACGACCGACGACCGACGACGACGGCGACGACGACGACGACGACGACGAGGCCGTTTTTTTGTGTTTGGGACCTCAGAGCCCAGCGTACAGCACGGCATGACGGTACAGCGCGGCACAAAGCCGTGGGACCGGCACGGCACGGCGCGAGCGCCCTCATGAGGTCGCCGCCCCGAGGTGGGGCAAGGCAGAGAAAGCGGGAGGGAGGAGGCGAGGAGAGGAACGAGCGGAGGGAGACAACGAAGGAGGACACGGCTCGAGGCGAATCCAGCCGTGGCGACGAGTGGCCGATTTCACGATCGATATCACCATCGACGTCGTCATCATCATCATCATCATCGACATCACCATCAACATCATCATCATCGTCATCGTCATCATCATCAACATCATCATCATCATCAACGTCGTCATCATCATCGCAATCATCATCACCATCATGGCCATCATCACCATCATCACCATCAGCATCGCGCAATCGATCTGACTATCGATCTCACAGTCGAACTCCCAATCGATCCCACAATCGACGCCATCATCATCATCGTCGTCATCATCACCATCACCATCATCACCATCATTACCATCATCACCATCATCACAATCATCATCTCACAATGGATTTGACTATCGATCTCACAAACGATATCACTATCGATCTCACATTCGGTCTCATTATCGATGTCACAATCGATCTCACAATCGACGTCATCATCATCAACAACAACACCATCATCATCATCATCGCCATCATCACCAACATCATCATCACCATCATCATCATCATCCACATCATCATCGGGACACCGACGGGACACCGGCGGGACACCGCGCGCCACCGGCCGCCCGGAAAAAACACATTTGGTCCGGCCGCGCCTCAGCCACAGGGACACCGACGGGACACCAGCGGGACACCGGCGGGACACCGCGCGCCACCGGCCGCCCAGAAGAGACACATTTGGTCCGGCCGCGCCTCAGCCACAGGGACACCGACGGGACACCAGCAGGACACCGGCGGGACACCGCGCGCCACTGGCCGCCCGGAAGAGGCACATGTGGTCCGGCCGCGCCTCAGCCACAGGAGACTTTTCTCTCGCCCGCCCACGCAGCTTCGTTTCGCCCGCGCGCGCGGCACGCACGAACACGAAACCGAAATCGATTTCCCGGTCGGGGGGCTCTCCGTTCTACTTCGATCTCACCCCCTCACCTCCGACTGCATCACACCCGCGTATAATTATAGCCATCTGATACAGCATAGAGCTACTACCATTGCCACCATAAGAATAATCGGAGCGAGATCGCGCAGCGTGGTTGGCGAAAAGAGGTCGGCATATTCTGGCAGCTCTCGAGAACCTCCGGCCTCCTTCTTAGATGTGTCGCCCCTTCGTTCATATTCTCCCCGTCGATTCCGTCTCCACCTCCTCCTAATTCCCTTCCCTCGTGACTAGGCCCATGCAATCGAATATCCGCAAGCACAATCGGGTGAAAGCGGCCTGGAAGTTTCTTGGGCTGCCCCAGAGCCCGCGACGAAAGCTGGCCGCAACATGCAATGTACGCATTCATACCCTTTGAGGATGACGGCCGTGGGGGAAGTACAATACCATGACACATAAGTTCCAACCTCCCTTGCCGCACTCGATGGACACCCCTCGGCCCTGAAGTGCAGGTGGTGGTACAGAGATCTGTCGCACCTCACGTTGCTTCCATCCTGGCGGGAGCAACGCCGCAACTCATGCAGAGCGGGTTCTCAGTCCACCTGGCTTCCACCCTGCGTCCACACATATCCTGTCTTGTATCATGAACGTCTGATATTCTGAACCAATCAATGGCTTGCTTTGTGTACCTGGCAACCCCAGAACATTGACATTAGCGAGCTCGAGAGAGATTTCTAAAAGTCTGTCAGTTGTCGCGTGGAGGGTGTAGGTGAGCGCCCACAAGACCATCATCGGTGGCCAGATGCCTCTGAACATGGAGGGATGATGAGTGGGGCCGTGCGTTATGGACGCGGGCCCCCCTGTCCCTTCATGAGGAGGGGGAGGAGGAGGTGTAGGTGGACGAATATCGGCGGAAGACAGAAACCAAAAGGAGGAAACCGATGCCCCGGCGCGTTCACGCGCAGGCTGGCGGGCGTCCTCCAAGCGCCGCAGCAGCTCCGCCGCCCGCGGCCCGCAGGACGCGACATTCGCGAGATTCCGCGCCTGGGGAGGATATGAGGAGGACGACGACGCCGAGGTCGAGGAGGTGGACGACGCGGGAAAGGGGGGGAGGAGGACGACGAGGTAGAGCAACCAACAACTAAAGGACACGGCTCGTGTGCTCCAGCGGCGAGCTCACGGGCCGCCGCCGCCGCGCTCTGCCAGCTGGCGCGTGTCCAGGCGCCGTCGCCGAGAGCGAAGAGGATGCCGAGGATGACGGGAATGACGGGAAGTACGGCGATGACGACGAAGGCCCAGGATGAGGATGAGGAGGGGGAGGAGGAGGAGGAGGAGGAGGAGGAAGAGGAGGGGAAGGAGGAGCAGGAGGAGGAAGAGGAGGAGGAGGAGGAGCAGGAAGGCGAGGAGGATGAGGAAGAGGAGGAGCAGGAGGAGGAGCAAGAGGAGGAGCAGGAGGAGCAGGATGAGGAGGAGGAGGAGGAGCAGGACGAGGAGGGCACGGCGATGAGCGAGCAGGCGGCGCACGGGTCTCGCGCGCGCGCGGCGGGAGATCTTCTGGAACCTTGTGGCCATGCCCGATTGGGTCGCGCTACACCCACTGACGCGGGCACATGTTTCCCCAATCAGAGCTTGCCTCTGTAGGGGTCCTAGTGGATTCATACGGTTAGGTGAGGTACGGCGCCGGCGGGCACCCAGGCGTGCCGCCGAAATCGGCGCCGTATAGCCTTATAGCCCTATAGCCTTATAGCCCCATGGCTCTGTAGCCCTATAGCCCCACAGCCTTATAGCCCTATAGCCTTATAACCCTATATCCCTATATCCTATAGCCCTATAGCCCTATAGCCCCCATAGCCCCCATAGCTCTGTAGCCCAATAGCCCCATAGCCTATAGCCTTACAGCCCTATAGCCCTATAGCCCTATAACCCTACAGGCCTATAGCCCTCATAGCGCTATAGCCCTATAGCACTAATAGCCCATATAGCCCTATAACCCCATAGCCCTAAAAAGGATTCGGGTTGGGTCTTTTCTCTGGTATCGGGGCGCACGAATGGGGGGCGGCGAGAGGCGGCGCCAGCTCCGCCACCCGCGGCGCGAGGCCCCTCTGCGCGTCGATGGCCTCGCGCGCGTCCGCCAGCCTGGCCTGCGTGGGCCCAGGCGCACGGCGGGCGGCGGGGGAAACAGGGGGGGGAGGGAGGGCACGTGCTTTTTCTTACCTCTGGTCGGGAAAAGAGGGTAGGAGGGAGGGGGGAGAGGGATGGAGGGGGGAAGGGGAGGAAGGGGGGGAAGGGATGGATGGATGGATGGAACGCTGGGGGGGGCGATTAGTCTCAGTGCCGTGGCCTGGGCATCTAAGTGCAATGCAATGCTCTGCCAAATATAAAATGCCCCCTGCGTGACATTCGAGAGCGGACGCGGGGCTAGTAATTCTGTACCGCAGCCGGGGAAAAGGGGGGAGGGAGGGAGGTTTTCTTTTTCGTCTCTGGGCCATAACGCGCGTGAGGCCCTCCCTCACGCCCCCCTCACCCCTCTCATAATGGAACGCTCCCTCCCCCCACCCCAGTGCGTCCCTGGCACTGCCGCAATACGTCCAGCACCAATTTATGGTGCCCGACCCACTCGGCGGGAGGGGGGCATTAGGTTATGCCCCCCCCACTTCCTCCCCCATACGGCCCGTTATCGCCGCGAATGAAAATGCTCTCGAGGGAGGAGGATAATGGAGGGAAAGAGAACTATGCCCGTGATCAAGACTGAACGCGGAAGTCGGTGCCGATCTTGGTCCACATCCATTTTGGTTACCGTCCATCTTGGTCACCGTCCATCTTGGACCGTCAGAATACCCTGCGGGCCCGTCATAATAATTCCAGGCTTGGGATTCCCACGCCTCTGGAGGCTCACTGCTGGTTTTCTGGCCGTCCAGCTGCTCGCTCGGGGGTGGGCGCGAGAGAGAGAGAGAGAGAGAGAGACCGCGCGGGCGAAATCTGAGTTTCTTTTGTCCTCCTTATTCCCTCTACCTCGCACCTCCATCCCCCCCCGCTCCTCCAGGGCAACGCCTGTAATGAGGAATATGGACGGGGGGGCGATGTCACGGAGGCAAGGGGACCAACTGCATGAAGAGGACTGGGCGTGCAAGGGCGATGGCCGCGATGTTGTGCTACGTGAGGGGAAAACTTGAGAGTTTCGCCCTTCCTCGATCCCTGCCACGCGCCCTCCATCCCTGCTTCAATCTTCCTCCGTCTCTCTGCATTCCACTCCCTTCCTTTTGCATCCTCACCGACTCGAAAAGACACGTCTTCTTGTCATGTTGCGCACCGAGACGAAAGCAAGAGCGCGGCCGCGTATTGGTGGGCCCCATTGCCCCTTCTCTTGAGGCTTGGGCTCGACCAGTTGGCAGCGTTTTCGTGTATCCACCTCGCTCTAATTCACTCATGCTCTTCCTCCCCTCTCTCCTTCCTTCCTATCCTGCCCTTCATGTCGTTTTCTTCGACGTCAAAAGGCCAGCGACCCCCAACACTATTCATCTCGGGAGGGATGGAGGGAGAGAGGGGGAGGGGGAGGGGGAGGGGGAGGAGGAAAGGGGAGGGGGAGGGGGAGGGGGAGGGGGGGAGGAGGAGGAGGAGAGGAGGAGGAGGAGGAGGAGGAGGAGGAGGAGGAGGGAAAGTGGCAGGAAGTGTATGAGGTGGCAGGAGGCAGGAGGCTGGAGGAGGAGGAGGAGGAATGGGGAGAGGAGGAGGAGGGAGGAGGGAAGGGGCGAATGGAGGGTGGTAGTGGTGCAGGGGGAGGGGAACTCTGTTGATATCGCTGGTGCGACCGATCGTGATCGACCCGCGGCTATGCGCGGGGGGGGCACCTCCACGCCGCCGGCCCCGGTCAGCCTCGCCACGCTCTGCGCCAGCTCGCTCACCCGCGGGGCGATGGCCTGTTTCGGGGAGCAGGATCGATTTCCTCCTCCTCCTCCTCCTCCTCCTCCTCCTCCTCCTCCTCCCCTTCCTCCACTTCCTCCTCCTCCTCCTCCTCCTCAACATCATCCATCTTTTTTTTTACAACTAGATGTAGAAACATGACTCCACCCCGTCTGACCACCAGGCGTGACCACTAAACTGGTCGGCAGGGCTCGCTGGGCGTTTCGCCTGAGGCCACCTCTCCCTTTCTGATCCCGAAACTTGAATTTCCAACAGTAGCAAGGATTTAGGGGTGCGTTCTCGAAACGTTGCTCTCACCTGAACACGCTCACCCGCGCCGTCAAGAACTCTTACATGGAACCAGAGAGGACGGGAATCGTGACGGGTGGGCGCATTGCAACATCGCTGATGCATCCCCCCTCCTCCTCTTCCTCCTCCCCCTCCTCCTCCTCCTTTCTCCTCCTCCCTCCACTCGGGGATCTACTGGCCCGGGTCAATCCAGACCCGGGCCAATCGGACTTTGCAAGACACTGCACAATCCTGCAGGATCCTGCGTCCAAGCCCGAGTCATTGCAGCCCTGGCCCTGCAGGATTCCTGTAAGAGCCGGCGCCCTGGCCGACCCCCGTTTGCATTGACCCTCGTCCCTAGAGCCCCGAACCCCTTCCTCCCCCTCCTCCACCTCCTCCTCCTCTCCTCCTCCCTCCCTCCCTCCCCTCCCTCCCTCCCCCTCCCCCTCCCCCTCCCCCTCCCCCTCCCCCTCCCCCTAACTCCTCCTCCTCCTCCCTCCTCCTCCTCCTCCCTCCTCCTGCTTCCTCCTCCTCCTCCTCCTCCTCCTCCTCCTCTCCTCATCCTCCTCCATTTTCCTTATACATAACTTCTCCCTGTCGCACCCCGAGGCCAGTTTTTAGGGCGGGCCTGGCGTGTCGCCTGAGACTTCCTCACCATTTATGACCCTGAAGCTCAAGGATTGGCAACCGCTTCGCAGGTGGGGGGCGGGTGGTTTTTCAAGATGTGGCTCTCGCCTTAGCGCCGCGCACATTCGTCTTAAACAGTTGCAGAACTTCCACGGATCGAGGGCGGGCCGTCTTCAAGATGTGGCTCTCGCCTTGGCGCCGCGCACATTCGTCGTAAACAGTTGCAGAACTTCCACTGATCGAGGGCGGGCCGTCTTCAAGATGTGGCTCTCGCCTTAGCGCCGCGCACATTCGTCTTAAACAGTTGCAGAACTTCCACGGATCGAGGGCGGGCCGTCTTCAAAATGTGGCTCTCGCCTTAGCGCCGCGCACATTCGTCTTAAAACATTTGCAGAACTTCTACGGTCGAGGCGGGCCGTCTTCAAAATGTGGCTCTCGCCTTAGCGCCGCGCACATTCGTTGCTAAAATCAGCAAGAGTTTTCACGGATTGATATGGCGGGTGGTTTTTTCAGATGTGTGCTCTCGCCTTAGCGCCGCGCGCATTTCGTCTTAAGCATCTGCAATAGCTCACGATCGAAGCGTGTGGTTTCAAAGGGGCCTCTCGCCTGCCTGCCGCGCACATTCGTTCTCAAGAACTTCACGGGATGGATGGCGTTCCTGGTCAAAATGTGGCTCTCGCCTCAGCGCCGCACAATCCGTTTAAAGCTGTGCAACAGTTCTCACGGTTTCCAGGACCAGCGTACACGTAAATCATGTTTTGTACATAGTCTGGAAGGTAAGGGTGCAACAGTTGCCGTGATTCGCGCGTTTGAAGTTCCAATATGGCGTTCTGGTGCATTCATGATCGCGAGATGCAGCAGTCAGTGATCCGTGGCGTTGTAAGCACGAGAACAATGTTTGGATGCTTCTGGGTCTTCACCGTTGTCTTCAACGAGGCATTCCCTCGTGGAAATGAACGTTGTAGGGGCCTATTAAGCAGGCTTGGAGGGAGGGTTTTAATTCCAACATCATCGATGATTCTTGGGTTTAACGACTGTGGAGTCCATCTCTACCTCCCCCCTCCTCCCTCGCCCCTCCTCACTGTGTCTCTTTCACCCCCCTAACCTCCCTCTCGCCCCAGCACCTCTCGCCGTCCGCCCTTCCCTCCCTCCCTCCCTCCCATCCCTCCCTCCCCCTCCTCCCTCCCTCCGCTCCGCTCCCCACACCCCTCGTTCCTCCTCCTCCTCCTCCTCCTCCTCCCTCCCTACCCTCCCTTTGGTCCCCCCTCCAGTCCCCCCTCCCCCTCCCCCGCCTCCTCCTCCTCCTCCTCCTCCTCCTCCTCCTCCTCCCGAAGCAACGAGTGGCATACAAACAGCAGCCGTCGGAGGCCCGCGTGCGCAGCTCCCGCGTCGGCGCCGGAGGCCTCCCTTCCACAGGCGCGCGCGCCAAGGGCGGCGCTGGAGGCCTCCTCCCTCCTCTCCCTCCCCTCCCCCCTCCCCTCCCCTCCCCCCCTCCCCGCCCTCCCTCCCTCCCATCCCTTCCTCCCTCCTCCTCCTCCTCCTCCTCCTCCTCCGCCTCCGCCTCCGCCTTCTCCTCCTACTCCTCCTCCTCCTCCTCGTCTTCGTCCTCCTCCTCCTCCTCCTCCTCTCCCCATCCTCCTCCATTTTCCTTATACATAGCTTCTCCCTGTCGCACCCCGAGGCCAGTTTTTAGGGCGGGCCTGGCGTGTCGCCTGAGACTTGCTCACCATTTATGACCCTGAAGCTCAAGAATTGGCAACCACTTCGCAGGTGGGGGGCGGGTGGTTTTTCAAGATGTGGCTCTCGCCTCAGCGCCGCGCACATTCGTCTTAAACAGTTGCAGAACTTCCACGGATCGAGGGCGGGCCCTCTTCAAGATGTGGCTCTCGCCTTAGCGCCGCGCACATTCGTCTTAAACATTTGCAGAACTTCCACGGATCGAGGGCGGGCCGTCTTCAAAATGTGGCTCTCGCCTTAGCGCCGCGCACATTCGTTTTAACAACATGCAAGAGTTTCACGGATTGTGGGCGGGTGTTTTGTTCAAGATGTGGCTCTCGCCTTAGCGCCGCGCGCATTTCGTCTTAAGCATATGCAAGAGCTTCACGGATCGAGGGCGGGTGGTTTCAAAATGTGGCTCTCGCCTCAGTGCCGCGCACATTCGTTCTAACACTTTGCAAGAGCTTCACGGATGGATGGCGGTTCCTTTTCAAAATGTGGCTCTCGCCTTGGCGCCGCACAATCGTTTAAACACATTTCAAAAACCTCACGGGTTCCCAGGACCAGCGTACCGTAAATCATGTGTTGTACATATTCTGGATCGCGAGGGTGCAACAATTGCGGTGATTCACGGCGTTGAAGTTCCACTAGTGGCGTTCTGGTGCGATTCATGATCGCCGAGATGCAGCAGTCATGTTGATCCGTGGCGTTGTAATCCCGAGAACAATGTTTTGGCATGCTTCTGGGTCTTCAAGCGGTTGTCTTCCAACGAGGCATTCCCTCAGTGGAAATGAATCGTTGTAGGGGCCTATGAAGCAGGAGCTTGGAGGGAGGGTTTATTCCAACATCATCGATGATTCTTGGGTTTACACTGGTCCTCCTCCTCCTCCTCCTCCTCCTCCTCCGCCTCCTCCTCCTCCTCCTCCTCCTCCTCCCCCCGTGCGGGCGAGGCGAGCAGGGGAGGGGTGGAGCTGAGGTGAAACGATAGGAGGGGATTGGCAAGGGGGGGACACGTAGACCTGGAATCGGCGATACCCCACCGATGGATAGGCGATAGGCCCCCGACGGCCACTCCGCACGCTCCTGGGCGGGCTGGGTTATCAGACCCCTGTCGTCGATCAATGGGCGATTGGGGGTCAACGCCCCCCTTATGCCTATTCCCTCCCTGTCGTCTGCCCCTGGGGAGCCGCAGCCTGGAGCTCGCCGAGGGACTCCGTCCGGCGCGAAAGCTCCTCCACCCGGGGTACGATCGCCTGGATGGGCGGCGAACGAAAGGGGGGGGAACTGAGACGGAGAAGGGCTTCTCAGAAGGCTCCGGGACTTCTCAGAAGCCCTCGCGCCTTCTGAGAGGTTTGTCGCGTCTTCGGGGAAGGCGCAGAAAACTTCCCCGAAGGCCGGGGGACTTCTGAGCCTTCGGAGAAGGCCTTCTCTTTCTCACTTCCCCCCCTTCGCTCGCCGCCGACGGATGGGGCGAGGGGGGCGGGAGGAGGAACTGCCTACGTGGCAGCATCCCTCCTTGGCCTCTAGTGCCACCAGCCCTGAGTCCTGAGGAGGACGCCTCTCTCCTTATCCTCCGCCGAGGCCTCCTCCTCCCCTCCCTGCTCCTCCGAGGCTTCCTTCCCTTCCCTTCCTTCCCTTCCTCAGACAGACAAACAGTCCCGCACTCCCTCCCTCCATCCCTCCCCTCCCTCCCTCAAGCTCCACTTCCCCGAGAAAGGCTTTCGAGTGTCTTCGGGGCTCACTAAGGTCCCGGGGGAGTTTGTGGGAGAAAAAAGGAAGAACACGACGAGCAGGAATAGTGGAAGGAGCAAGCGAAGTAGGAGAGGGAGGAACTTAAGGGGGAGGGGAACATATACACATTTGTATATATACATATATGTATATATAGAGATATATAGATCATACGGAACGGAACGAGTAGCAGCATGATGATGATGGAACGGTTAATCTGTAGACATGGCGGAGAAGCTTGCGGAGGTTAACGGCAGGACGAGATTATCTCTGGAGTGGCAACGCCAGCAACAGCAGGATCATATAAACAAGTGGGAGGAGGGAGGGGAAGGACGGGGTGGCGAGGATTGTGGGAAGACGCGAGAGGGACTCAGTGGGCGGGCAGGAGGAGGCACACGAGGCACACCAACGACATGAACAAGCAGCTGATGCAGGTCAGCCATGGCATTGGGCCCCGGTGTCCTCCAGCTGCTGGGAAACCTCCTGCATTCGCGGCTCGAAATCCTGACGCTGGAGGAAGCTTCGAAGGGGGGAGGTCCTGGACCTCAGGCTCCCGCGCCTCCTGGTAGGAGGGCGAGAGTCTGGCCCTGCGCCCGAGTGACGCGCTGATGTGCGCTGTCAATGGCGGGGCCGGTCGGTGTGCGCTGCGCAGCGATGGTGGCGATGGTGGCCGAGGAAGAGGAGATGGAGGAGGAGGAGGAGGAGGAGGAGGAGGAGGCGGAGGAGGAGGAGGAGGAGGAGGAGAGGAGTAGGAGGGAGGAGGATAGGAGAGGAGGAGGAGGAGGAGGAGGAGGAGGAGGAGGGGGAGGAGAGGAGGAGGATGAGGAGGAGGGGTGGGTTGGAGGATCGGAGGAGTGGAGGAGGAGGAGGAGGAGGAGGAGGAGAGGAGGAGGAGGAGGAGGGGGAGAGGAGGAGGAGGAGGAGGAGGAGGAGAGGAGGAGGAGGAAGGAGGAGGGAGGAGGAGGAGGAGGAGGAGAGGAGGAGGAGGAGGAGGGAGGAGGAGGAGGAGGGGGAGGAGGAAAGAAAGTGCCCCCCTCATTCTCCCGTGTGCTCACCGCTTTCTTTTCCGGACCGAGGCCGTTGGACCCAAGCCATCCGTGCTCCACGCTCCTCCCCCCAGCTGCCCGCCAGGACACGTATGACCGCCTGCCGCCGCTCTCTCCCCCGACCTGCAGGGGACCTCGCGCGCGCTGCTCCGCCCCCAAGGAGGCCCCCCAAGAGGGGGGGAGGAGGGGGAGGACGAGGACGAGAACGAGGACGACGACAACGGGGAGGGCGGGAGGAGGAGGAACAAGAGGAGGAGGAGGAGGAGGAGGAGGAGGAGGAGGAGGAGGAGGAGGAGGAGGAGGAGGAGGAGGAGGAGGAGGAGGAGGAGGAGCGCGCGCAGCCGCGGAGAGCGGGGTCAAAGATCGACGACAACGACGACACGACAGACGACGAGGCGGCGCCCGGGCGCGGCTTAGCCGCGCGCCCCAGGGCCGCGTTGCAGCGGCGCTCGCGGGCGCCTCCGCCTGAGCAGCTCTCGGACGGTGTTCCATGCCACCGCTGCTGCTGAGTGGGCGGGCCAGGCCCCGCGAGCGATCTCATCTAGATTGTGGCGGCCGGCCTTATCGAGGGGTTTGCATCGCTGGGCCAAGCCCCGGAGCACCCCCCCTTCCCTGGCGGCCACCATTCCACATGCAGTGCAATAAAATATGGGAATCACAGGATGGGCCTCGACATGGTGGGACTCATGGGGCCTCCTGGTTCCCATTTGGAAGGTCCAGGGGGCGCCGCACCGTGGACGAGCGCCAGAGTGTCCCGGATGAGGTCGCGGATCGGCGGCAGCACCGGTCGTTCTGGGACCCGGGCGCGGCTGTTGACCGGCGTCGGCCTGCTCCGCTTGAGGTCGACAATTATGCGCCGCTTGACGCTCCCGTCTGGCTTCTCCTTGGTGACGAGCGCCATTCTGGAAATGGAGCCACCGTGAAACCTCTGCTGGGCAACGGGATCAGGAAGCGAGACTGCGAAGTCCTGTTCCAGGTAGCGGTGCACCGCCGCCGCCGAGCCTTCAGGGTCGTCGGAGATAGACTGGTACTTGAACACACCTTGCACCAGGGTTAAGTCCAATCTACCAGAGGTGCCAGAGCTCTCGGTCGCGGGCACAGCGGGGAATACGCCGCAAGTGGGGATGGGCACCTCCGCGCCCAGCGGCGCGCCCACCTGGCACCAATCCCGGTGGCAGGTTTCGGGGTCTCCGCCAGCCTGCAGCCAGGCGTGCAGCAGCTCCGCTTGCAGCGGCGAGGGCTGCCCCCACTCGTGTGCGACCTGGCTCTCAGGCGGGGCGCCGAGATGCTCGCGCAGCCGGGATCTCCAGACCTCGACCAGGTGCCTGTCTGGGCCGGTGTAACTCTTGTCACCGAAACGCCGCGCCACAGTGGTAGCCTCCAGGTACTCCGAAACCCAGTCGTCGTACAAGGCTGCCAACTCCTTGCCGATGGCGCAGAGGCGCGGCAGGCGCGCGACGGAGGCCGCCGTTGAGCGCAGGCCACCAACGCAGAGATGGTTCTCCTGCTCACGGCGCTCCTGCCGGGAGGCCGGGGCCGCGGCCGTCGGCGCGGGGCGTGCGACCTCCGCGAGGGCTGGTTGCGCGGCCGGCTGCCCGGCTGCCGCGGCGGCGCTGGTGGGGCGCCTGGCTAAGGCATTGCCCCACTGGTCACTGGCCCACTCGGACCAAGGCGCTGTCGGGGGCCTCAGCGACAGCGCCCCGCGACCCCGGAGCCGGGGTCAGCGGCGCCGGCAGTCCGGCGCCTTGTGCGAGGCATCGCCGCACTTGGCGCACTTGTGGACTCGGCCCCTCGGGCAAGTCGAGGGCGCGCCCAGCTTGCCGCACTCGTTCGCCGGGTTGCCCTAGTTCCAGTTCTTGCACACCTCGGGCCCCTGGGCTTTCTGGGAGTCGTTCGTCTGCTTGCGCGGACCCCCGCCGAGCTGCCGCGGGCAATCAGCGGGGGGCCCCCGTTTCCCGACGCCTGCTGGGGGCGCTGCTGCTGCGTGCCGGTCTTGCGCCGCTTGCCCGCCGCGGGGCGCTGCTCTGTCGGCGGCGCAATGGCCGCGAGGCCTCCTGGCGGGTGGGCCATGGCCACCGCCTCCTCGGGCGCGAGCAGGGCGCCGCGACCGCCGCGCGCCACCCACGCAGCAGCCGGGCGCCGCACGTGAGCATCCCAGAATGCCTCGTCGTCGGCCGCCAGGCGGTACACGGTGGACCAGGGCGCTGCGCTGTTCCAGTCTGGAGCAGGCGTCTGCCCGGCCGCCAGTTTGGCCTCGTAGCGGCGCTTTAGGCGGACCATGTGCTCCGCGCGCATCTGGTCATCCGCCGTGGCAATCAGATGCCAGCACTCCGGCCATAGCTGCACGAGCTTGGGGATCTTCTCCGCGTTGTGCTCGAGCGCCGGGCGGGCCGCAGCCATGGGCATGATGCAGGCCGTGGCGAGGACCTTCCAGGCCGCCTCCCAGTGCTGCAGGTTCCCCGGGCTGGGGAGCTCTTTGGCCGCGAAAGAGCCGTCGCCAATCGGGTACCACGCGCGGAACTTCGCGGCACGCGCGCCCAAGCGGGCGAACGGCCCCCACAGCGCGAAGTCAGCGTACGGCGAGCAACCGCGGTCGTTGACCCTGTTGCTGAGGGCCGTGAGCTGCTCCACCGAAGGTTCCGCGTCCTCCGCCGGAGCGGCGAGGACCTGCTGCTGGTAGTTGGCGTGCCACTGGGCGTGCGTGGGCGCATCAGCGACCCGCACCTCGCCATCGTCACCCTTCGAGCACGGTGGACAATTTGACGACCTTCTCTTTGATCGTTGGAGCCGCCGCCGGCGCTGCCCCGGACCCGGCCGCGGCCGGACGGGCCGCAGGCGCCTGGAACGGATCCATGTCCACGAAGTCGCCCCATCTCTGCCCGCCAGCTGTCCACGAAATGCGTTTGCAGATGCGCCAGATCAGGCCCACCTGGCTTGCTTCCAAAGGGGTGAGCCCACGCGTGGGCGGCTCGTCCCCAAACCCGGCATTGCTGTCAATCTGTGTGGTCACGATTGCCACGTGGAGCATCGGCGCGGGGATTATCGACATCAGCGGGATGTGATTCCGAAAATCTCCCAACTGCGCCTCGACAACTCGAAACACACTGGCCGACAGACGCACATATTGGACAACTTCCGTTACTGATGTCCATGACATGGCAGTGGCCTCTGGTGGAATCAATGCCATCGATCGTAGGGTAAGCAAGCCGCGCAGGCAAACGATGTAAGAGAGAATGGGAAGTACGTTAAGGAGAGGGGGAGAAAGCAAAGAGCATCGATGCTCGATCCGCGTGCCTGCCTCGAACAAAGAGCTGGCATAGGAATGGGGAGAGCAGAATGAAGGAGAAATGATGGGGCAAGATGGATACACAATGGGATCAAGCCACCCGCCACCATGCATATGGAGTGCCATTGTCCTCAATTGACCTGTCAATAACGATAAAAAATGGGAATCACAGGATGGGCCTCGACATGGTGGGACTCATGGGGCCTCCAGGTTCCCACTTGGAGGGTCCGGCGAGCTCGCGGGATCCGAACCTGGGGAGCGCCCCCGCCCCAACAGGGGGAGGCCAACCAAGCCTTCATCTCCTCGGAGCCTCCCGCCCCCGAAAGGCACTCCGTGCAGCGCAGCCTCCAGGAGCCCCGAACACCCTCACCCATTTTGAGAGTGTGTTCGGAGGCCAGCATGGCCCTCTGGAGGCTCGTCAGACGGAGCTGCGGTGGCGGAGGCTGTGCTCTCTCAGCCCTCTGGAGCACGTCCACCTCGGCACAATGCTCCATCACCGCGGCCAGGCGGTGTCGCACGAGCGCGGCCTGGGCCTCCACCTGGGCCGCTCGCTCCGTGTCGACACGGGCGCGTTGGCAACGCATGGCGGCCATCTCAGCAATCTGATCGGCATGGTCGTTGCCGAATCTCCACAGGGCAGGGATGGCTAGCTCTGCGGCGCGGGCGTCATCGGCGTGGCTCTCGACCTTATGTAGGTGGAGCTCGAAACCTACGAGCCGCCCTGTCCCTGCGGGAGGGCGGCGCTGGAGGAGGAGCTTCCCCTCCTCCCTGACATGGTGTGCGCCGAGCCCCCCGCGCACTTCGCACGCCAGAACACGCCCCCGCCCGGCCCCCCCCCCCACGCCAAACCACCTCAAGACGTGTGACGGGTGCGCCCTGAAGCCCCGTCTCTCGGGGCCCGCCGCACGGCCAAGGGCAGAGGGGCCTGGTCTGCAGGGCTGTTTCAGCCAGTGAATTAGAACTCTCTTGCCTCTGGCACCGGGCTCAGACTGGCACTCGAGACACTTCCACCGCCTCGGATGGATGGTGTGACATGTTTCGGCGCGCGCGGCTCAGAAGTCGAGCGACGGTGTCTCACCTCGCCCCGTCTCTGCCGGGCCTTCGGCTCGGACCGAGGGGGGGAAGAAGCCGTGATGGCCAAGATCCGTCGTCGAATTTGCTTGGCCTCTTCCTCGAGCTCTAAAAGGGACTGGGCCTCGGCCTCAGAGCCGGGAGCTTGCGCGGGGCCCGAGAAACGATCGGCCAGCCGATCCGCGGCCTCGTTGGCCGCCGACAAATTCACAAGCTCTCGAATCGCCGCCAGCTGCTCGTCTTCCGTGAGGTGGCTGGCGACTTTGACGACCTGAACGTCCCGCCCATCGAGGAGGCTCTTGACGGACCTCCACAGGTCCTGGTGGGATCTCGGGGACCACCGACCTCGTCCGAGCTGGAAACATCCACGGACAACATACAACGAGCCCATAGTATAACCGAGGTCTCTGGCAAGCGTCGCAGCGAGGGCCTCCCGGAATGCCAGGAGTTCCCCGCGGTTGATGCCCTGCCTCGGACCAGGAAGGGAACCCCCAAAGCCCCCCGTCTTGGCGGGCTTCTCTCGCGAGAGGTGTGGGTCCACGCCGAACTTGCAAGAGACCGCCGCCAAAGAAGTCCTTCTCAGGCGAGGGTGCTTGCCCCACGACGCGTCGCCTCCAAGCCAAATCCTTCCCCTGCTCACAAGCGGCCCTAGGCGGGGGTGCTCAAAAGTGGTCGGGGGGCGGCGGGTCAGGAGGGGTGATGCCAGGGTCGAGGGTGCATTCAAGATCGTTCCTCGGCTCCGCGAGCCGAGTCCACGCGGCAGGGGTTAAGCCACGGAGCCAACAGCATGGATGCGCAATATAACCAGCCTTCGCCTGATCGGCTAAGCGATTGGACCCGAGGCGCTCTTCGATAAGAAAGTCCCCAGGGCATTCCCAGACAGTGTGAAAATCTGTCTCTGGGCACCTCTGGCGAGGACGACACACATTGGACTCGATTTTCACAGCCGCCTGCTCAAGACGGCAGAGAGACCGAAAGCCCGCAGTCGAGAGGTTGGCCGAACCCCTCGCAGCTTATAGGCCCCCTTCCGTTCCAGAGCTCGCATGTGACTGAGGAGGGCCGTAATGTCAAGAAGCCCTCGTCCATTATGGTGCTCAGCAGCGGCCTCCCACAGGCCCACCTGGAGGGTTTCGCGAACGAGCCCCAAGATGGTGGACCAGTCGGGGTCCTGGTCCCAAACGTCCTCCGAAATCGAATAGAGGTCACCGCGCGGGTGCTTGCAGGTCCAGGGCCCCGCGTGGATCCCAGCCAGCTGAGCGCAAACGTGAATGGTGCTGCCGATGATGTCATTAACTTTAAGCCGGCGTCGTCTCGGCTCGGCGTTGCCCAAGCCGACTGCGATGTTGGGCCAGACTCGAGCGGCGCGTTTCCTCAAAAGAGGGGGGGGGAGCATTAATTCAAGCCGCGTCGGGGCAATGCTGGTGGGGAGGGCAACTCCCGGGTGGCGGTCGCAGTAATCAAAATGGAGCGCGGTCGTGAGGCATCGGCCCTTGGCCTTGGACGTGACAGAGTGACCTAGCATGCGACGGAGCAGCTCGAGCGGTCTTGGGGCGAGTGGCAAGACCTTAGCGCGGTAGTCAACTCTGGGCAGGATGCCCGTGGACGCCACGCGACGGGCAGCTCTCGCTCCCGCAGCCCAGCCCGTGAGTTTCCTAAGCTTCGAAACTTGGTACTTGCCGAGCCTAGCTCGAATTCCATGGTGAAAAAATTGAAGAGGCTGAGGTGGCCCCGCTCGATGCCGAGGTCTGCGACTGCCCCTCGGATTCGACGGACAGCCCCCTATGTCGGAGCGAGGTTACTAGGTCGAAGGCGAGGCTGCGATCACGCGCCATCGCCGCCGACTTCGGGGAAAACTCCAGTCCGTCCGTCTTCAAATCGGCTGCAAACTGCACGGCGGCGTCAGGCATGATCGGCACGAGCGTTTTCTGGCACCCCTCCATGCGAAAATTGACATCGTCAACCCAAGACTTCGCCACCACACCCCTCGGGGGACAAATATTGTGTATTCGTTCGAGGGTGGGGTATAAGAAGGCGGCTGCGGCATTCTTGGCGGAGCGACATCCTGCTGCGATACTCAGGGACGGGTCAGTGGGCGCGCTCACAGAGGACTGATCCGTGAGCAGACGGTGCCCTAAATAGGTGAAGGCCGACAGGCTCATGATGGTGGGGGAGTAGTCGAGGTCCAAGCGCCAACATCCAGCGAGTCGTAAAACTCTTCGACGTCGAACAGGATCGGGAGGTGGCCGACGCCCAATGCGTCGCAGGAATCATCCATAAAGTGGCGGCTTACAGCCGCTCGCAATGCACTACTGCCTCGGATCGCCTCGCCCCAGAACCCCGCCCGTCCGTCCAACCACCCCCGAGGGATCTCATTCCGAAACAGACTCCAGAGGCGGGTAAGCCAGACCAGCAGGGCTATGGCTCTTTCACCTCCAGAATCTTTTGGGATGAGCCCCATCAGAGCGGGCAAAAATTGCCAGGGCCAGGCCGCGTTGGCCTCCGCCTGGTGGAACAACTCGAGCAGGGCCCGCTGGCATTCAGGGCCGACCTCTTGGATATCCCGCGGCCCATGGCCGCGAGCGGGCTGCTCGCGGGTTCGCCCGCAGAAGCTATTTCATGACGGGCCTGGGGGGGGATGGGCTCCGTGTGCCGGTGGAGCTGGCCTGCGCGGCCACTGAAAGCCTCCTCGACCCACGTGCAAAATTTGCCTGGAGAGGTCCTGGCCGCTGCCTGCTGCGCGGTGGCGGCGTTGATCCGGGTGGCCCCCAGCAGGGCGGCAACATCCTCCTGAGTTATAATTCGGCCGCCTTGCCGAGCCAAGCCTGCCGCGACTTCGGGGAATCACAGAACAAGGTCAAGGGCAGGGCCCGTCGGGGCACTAGAGCCCCTCGCTGCTGCAGCTTCGACACGGCCTCGGCTCCCTGGGGCGATGAACCGCAACTTGAAAAACAAAGGAATTCCCGGATTCTCCTTCTTCTCAAGTAGCCCAGAGAGGGTATCGAAGCATGCTCGGCGACCTGAACGAACTGGAGGAGCTCGCCCCGCCACTGAGCGATGGGGTCGGCGTACCTCCTCGGCTGGTCTCTACGACTCAGGTGGGTGGTGCGGGGTGGGGCGAGTTTGGCCCTCCCCAAAAACCAAGCTTGCCGATCCACGGGCTCGCCGGGGTCTCGCGTGTCCGGCATGGAATCCGGCAGGGGCCCGTGAGGGAGATCCCCATCAATGCGGCGAAGTCGAACCAGTTGGCGGAACGCCTTGCGTCGAGCATCAACGGCGAGATGCAATCTGGTGGGAAAGTGCGGTGTGAATCCAGCGTCGTCTATGCCCCCGAGGACGGCATGAGCGATGCACCGACTGACGACGAAGAGGTCGTAGGTAGACCCGCTGCACGTGGGAGTCGCTGGAGAGACGATGCGGCCTTTGACGATGCCGAGCCAACCAGTCGCCGTGAGCATCTCCGGCGTGATGCCTCAATTCCGCGACCGCCCACGGCCCCGACAGCACCCCGAGCAGCGCGGCAGCCTCGGCCAGAACGTTCAGGTTGGCCTCCGACACGCCCTGGCTGTGGAAGAGCCAAGTGCTGCAAAAGTGCAGGCCGCCCCTCATGACAGCGCCAAGCCAGGCCGCCTGCAGCCGGTGTTGCATGCCGTCTGCGACCAAATCCACGTGCGGATGCAGCCCGACGCGCCGACGGCAAAGCACGCCAACGCCGCCAGATGCGCGATCCAAGGCGGTGGAGTGCGCATGGTCGATGTGCGACCTCCAGCCCGCAGCCGTCGCGGCCAGGCGAGCGGCATCCAGCCGGTGTTCGGTGTGGATGTTGTGTTCCTGGACCAACAGCACATCAGCGGAAGTCCGAAGGATGACCTTATCGAGGCACGTATCCCAGCAATTCGCATTGGCCGTGTCGATGGTCCACGCCCCGCGCGAGCGGATATTCGCATCCTCAATGCCGATCTGTGCAGGCAGCTGCGGAACGTCGCCGGCCGAAGCGGCAGCGCGGCGGCGAGGGCGAATGCGGCGGCCTTCGGCGGTGCGGCGACGGCGTGCACGGCGATGGCGGCTGCTGTCGGGCTGCGGCTGCCAGTTAATCAAAACCACAAAGGGGGCGTGCGCCTTTCCGACTCCGACGGCCCGCCATCGGCTGCAGCAGCAGGCGGCGCATGGAGGGGCCCTCCGCGGTCCCGATGAAAGCCGAGGATGCCGCCGGACAGGCCGTGATAGAAGCCATTGGTGGGAGCCGCTGAACTGAGGGGCTGGAACCACCAAGGCGTCGGGATCCAAGCCAGCGCCGCCAAGAGAGGCATGGCGGCGGCGGCGCTCCCGCGGAGCTGCGTGCGTGGGCGGGCCGATTTCCATCCAGTCGCCATGCCAGCTGGCCCGGCGCGAAAGGCGCGCCGAAGACAGGGGCAGCGCTCTCGACGACGTTGGCGGCAAAAGGAACGTCTGGAGGTTCAAGGGTCCACGGCGTCTGGAAGGGCACAGGTGGCCTCCTCAACGGCCGCATCAAATGCCCACTCCTCGCTGTCTCCCGGGGCGGCCGGGCCAGGGCGAGCGGCGTCGCCAATGCGGGCGACGGCCGCGAAGAAGAGGAGCAGGCTGATCCACCTGGGTCGCCTAACCCCTGGGCGAAATGTGACGAGATGGTGGGCGCCTTGCCAAGGCTCGTCCGGATCCTGCCGGCCAGGGCGTCGCGCTCCATGCGCAGGAGCGCCTTCTGTTTGGAAGGGCCGACGACCTTGCTCCACTTGCCGTTGTCGGCGAAATCGTCGCGAGGGAAGCGAGGTCGTCGACCGCGCTGGGGGCGCCCTCCGAGGTCGCCCCGGCGCCCTCGGTCTGCGCGGCAACCAGTGCGTGAAGGTGGGCCATCTGCTGCTCGAGCTGGGCCTCACGCTCGCGCCGCTTCCCTACCGGCGTACGCGATGGACGCGAAGCCAGCGGGGGCCTTGGCCGGCAGCCGCACTGCGGCTGGCGCCGCGGGGGCAGCCTCGGCCGCAGCAGCAGGCGCCCTCTCCGAGGCGAACTGCCTCGCCAGAGCGGCGACCTCCACAGTGGCCTTGGCCATCCAACCCAGCCCTCGGCCTCGGCGACGGCCGCCTGCTGAGACATCATTTGCTTGTTGAGCTCCTCCCGCTCCGCCCCCCGAGCCTGCAGTGCCGACTTGGCGTCGGCAAGCTCCCTGGCCATGCGCGCCGTGTGGGCCTCCGCCACCTCCAGCTGCTTGCTGAGAGGGTTAGATGCCCGCCGCGCAGCTTGCGCATTGCCGAGGTCGGCCTGGAGTTGTGTTCCATAACAGCTCCTACAGCTCCTGAACTCAAAGACCTCCAGAATTAGCTCAAAAGTATCAAAAACATAGTTTGTGATATTTTTATAAAATTACCATAAAAATAGAGAATCCGCGCTCGAAAATTAGGATTTTCATTTTTAGGTAGGAGAGCGATCCCGAACAAATACAACGGTGGGCCCAGCGATGCTCGCGAGCGCGAAGAGCATCGGCACTCAAACGCTTAGCTACGTTGCCCGTCGGAGCAACTGAGCAAATCAGCAACTGAGCAACTGAGCAACCTAGCAACTTGGCAGCTTAGCTCCAGAGCAACTGAGCAACCTAGCAACTGCGCGCTGGGGGGCCCTGCGCGTGATGGTACTCGTCAGGGCTGTTTGCAGGCGGGGGGGGGGCGCGCGGTTCCGTGGCCATAATGGATTCGCTGCGTTCGGGACGGTGGGGGCTATCAGCATGGAGTAGACCCAACGTGAGCAGCCCGCTAGCGTTGCCGCATTTTCGATCGTCATTTCGCCACGCATGCTGTTTCAAATAGGCAGGGCGGCAGCGATTCGCCGAAGGTGTCTTCGATGATAACCACGACATCGCTCCGCCAGCATCACAAGGAGCTCGCTTGATAGTACCGCGCGCGAGTGAGAGAAGAGTCGGGCCGCGGAGGCAGGGGGAGAGGCAGGAAAGGAGGGGGGGAGGACGGGGAGGAAGAAACAGAGAGGGATAATGAATCAGGCAGAGGAGACAAAACAAGGACCACGAATGGCTGAGGGCGGGCAAAGGGAAGATGACGAACAACTCGAGGGGGGGGGGGGCGGGACCGCCCGCTCGCGCGCAGCGGGACAAGCCCGCTGCGCGCGAGTCCACCGCGCGAAGTCCTCTTCGAAAAAATGCTGCAGGAAGCTCGAAGCCCGCCGCCCCCAGAGCCCATGATTGCGCCTGGCCGCGCCTCCAGGCGGAGGATGAAGAGGGGCAAGAAAGGAGGAATCTGGGATGGAGGGTTTGCAGTGGAAGAAGTGGAAGAGCTGGGAGAGGATGCGCGGGGGGGGGGCAGAATGGACGAGGACGCAGAGTTGGGAGGGCGAAGGTTGGTTGACCTTGGCGCCTGCTCGGCGATTCGCCTGACTATCGTGCGTCTTCGTCGCGCCCATCGTCGCCCTCATTTTCGAAGAGGCGAGACAGTTGAGCATTTGGCAGCACCCTAGGAAAGGGGATCAGCAAATGTCGGGCGAAAACGCGGCAACGCTAGTGGTCTGCTCACATTGATCGTCTCCTGCACTAGTGGGTGGTTGCGTTGGATGTGGATTCACTAAGGGGAGGGGGGGACAGTTGGATGAGGAAGAGGGTCCAAGTAGGATGGACAATGTCAACTTCGCAACTGTCGCAACTCTCATTAGCTCCGAAAGATCCAGCGGCGCAGCTGAGCAACTCAGCAACTGAGCAACTGATCAAACTCGCAACTGGGCAGCTTAGCAACAGAGCAACTGAGCAACCTAGCAACTTGGCAACTTAGCAACAGAGCAACTGAGCAGCTTTCGTGAACTCCTGGGGTGTCCAGTTTTAGTGCGGGGCCACGCTGTTCTACTTAACCACACTGGCTTTTCCAAATGGCAGGGGTGGCGGTGATTCGCCGAAGGCGTCTTCGATAAAAAACCTTCGCATATCAAATCCCATCTCACACGATGGTCAACTCATGTCTCGTGCCATCCTCGGGGTTCCGATTCGCACCAGTCTCATATTGTTTTTTTGTCTCGGCGAGGCCAGGCGGCTCGCCTCGAGGGCGGTCGGACGGCAAGGCCAGCCGTCTCGCCTCGATCACTTGGACGTGATCACCTGGAAGGCGCGATTGAACATCGCCAAGTGGAGCGCCGCCTTCTCCTGGAGGCCGTAGCTGCGCAGCTTCTTGGTGGCCGTCTGGACCTCCGTGCGCAGGACTGGCTTTTCCATATCACCTGCAATCGCTTCGATGATCGCCTGCTCCGTCTTGGCGACCACAAGCGCCTGAAGGAAGATCATAGCATGCCTCATCTCGACTGTGTCGGGGTTCGCGTCGCCAGCGTCCTGGAGGGCCGTCTTGTAGTCTTCGTGCTTCTTCTTGCGCTCGTCTGCGAGGTCGTGCGCATTGCCAAGGTCCACATCCTTCAACTTCGCCTCGTAGACTGTCACGAGCTCCGACCACGGGACACCCTTCGCAGGCCTCCACGACTCGGTCACGCCGCCGTCGGCACCGTGCGTGTACGTCTTCTTCAGGGCCTCACGCACTGCCGTGACGCTCTCTTGCAAGGCGGCCTTGGCCTTCGCCACGGCCCTGGCGTGCACCGCCTTGTCGGCAGTGTGTGTGTGGCGTCCTTGACCGCGCTGGCCATCTGCACCACCTTGCCGACTGTCGCCTCCAACAAGTGCTTCTTGAGATCGCTGATCTCTGGCATCATGACGTGCTCTGTTTCCTTCAGAGTGCAGAGGGCACGGCGCATCCTTGCCGTCGTCTCTTTCTGCTGCTCGACAGTGACCTCGTGGCTGCCGTCCTCAGTCGCTTGGATCGACTGCACGCTGAGGCTGCAGGTGGCCGAGGCCCGCACGGCGTCGAATAGGCGGCGGATCTCTGGGCCGCCCAGCGCGGGGATGGTATCGCACAGCGTCGGCCCACAATCAATGAGCACCGGGTCGATCTGGGCCGAACCGTCGGGTGAGATCCAGTCCAGGAGCGTCTTGCAGCACTTCGCAAGCAAATCCATCCCGACCTTATCGACCAGCTCGTGGCGCTGGACGCTCCCTGCGAACTTCACCGCGGCGTTGGCAGCCGTCCTCCGCTCGTCTTCGTCATTCTCGGTTGCCTTCCCGCTCAGCTCCTCCAGCGCACGTTTGAAGTTGTCGGCGCGGGCGGCCGCGTTCAGCTGTGCAACTCGGGACCCGACCTGCGACTGCGACTCAGCCATGGCGGCAGACATGGGAAACGCAATCACGGACGCAGCGAGCAGCTTCTGGAGTGAGTCCAAAAGCGTTGTGTCCGTCAGCACACCTTCTGCATCAAGAAGCTCCTTCACGAGGGCCGTCACCTTGTCGGAAAGCTTGGTGGATACCTTGCTGAGGCAATCTTGTGGAATGACGGCCTGCATGTCAACCATGGCCTCGCAGTGCGACTGCAACTTCTGCGCGAGGCCCTTGCGATCTTCTGGGGCGGACGGGCTGTCGGACATCAGCTTATCCATATCTTTCAGAATGTCGTCCTTCTCGATCAGCATGGGAATCGCGTCCTTGTAGGTCTTCAAACGGTTCTTCCAAAACTCGGTTGTGTCCACGGCGTGGAGGATCCGCACCTGGACACAGTCTGACGACTTCGTCATGTGCTTGATCAAATCTTGAACGTCTTCATGTCCATCAGCGGTCGGCAGGAAGTCAATCAACGTGACGATGGCCCTCATGGTGGTGAGAACCTGTTGCTGGCGTAAACATACGACACTTACTTGGCACACTGGAATCTCAGGTGAACCTCATCTTGGATCTCTCCTCCTCCCTCCTCCTCCTCCGGCCTCCTCCTCCTCCTCCTCCCTCCTTCTCCTCCTTCTCCTCCCTCCTCCTCCTCCTCCCCTCCTTCCGCCCCGTCCTCCTCCTCATCACCCCCCCCTCCCCCCTCGGTAGAGGGGGGGGGAACCCTCCCCCCCCCTCCCCCGAGAGAGGGGGGAAGGGGAGGAGGAGGAGGGAGGGAGGAGGAGGGAGCCAAAACTGTTTAGGGGGCCGTAGGAACATCCTGGATGAAGGAAGCGGCGTCCCTGGGCAGCTCCCAAATGTCCTCGTCCTTGAACACTTTCACGGCGGCCAGAGCGTAAGCCTTGAGGGTCGCCAGCTTCGAAATCCCGTCGAATATCCAAGGGCGCACATGCTCGGAGTAGACCACCTTGACGAAGTGTCTCAGCAAAGACCTCAAGCTGTCGCCAATCGCCTCCTCAGTTCCGCTTGTCACACAAGCCATGCCGAAGCTCGGGTTGATGAGGTCGAGCTTCTGTCCCTCTGGTGGCGCCCAGCACCGAAAGACCTTCAAATGACCTTCCCAATCTGCAGCATCAGATAGTGTAGATTGCCTCAAATCAGCTATGCTGAAGATGATGCTCTTAGGCCATACCAGCTCAGCCTCGTCTTCGAACTCTTGGATGGTATCGGACAGCTCGGGCCAAGATTTCCCTCTCACAAACGTCGGGTTGCGCAACTCGCAGGCCGTATCGAGCTTCGAGATGTACTTGAGACGGAGCTTGGCTTCGATCTTGGTCGTCTCCTTCGTCAGGTCGTCCTGCGCCTTAGCCTTCAGAGGCGTCAAGCTCCGTCGGTCCTTGATGCCGTCGAGGAAGAGCTGGACGGGGTACTTCGACTTGATGCTGCCGACCGTTGCTCCTTGGGAGAGTAAACGAGACGATGGAAGTCGACTCATGTTGTTGCTGATGCTCATTGTGCGACGAACGATGCGACGGACGACGGACGAATGACGATCGACACATCGCGATCGTCGACGAACCACGAATGACGAACGACGAAGAACGACATACGACGACGAACGGAGTTCCCAGGAGCCCGGGCTCCAAGGAGCATCAACAGCACGATCCCCAGCTCTCACATGATATTGGAGCTGTTGCTGCTGCTGGGATGTATGGCCATGAGTAGCATGGCCATGAGTGTCAGCAGCAGTACCAGCTCCAATGTCATCGTCGTCACCACGGGGGCGGGATTTGGAACCAGTAGGTCCGTCGTCGTCGCCGAAGGCGCTCGCGGAGCCCAAGCTCTCACGAGTGTTATCGCGACCTCCACCTGCCGCGCTAGCTGCAGGGCGAGAAGCCATCGAAACTCTCGACGAGGCGTCGTCGAAGTCCCTGGGGCAATCCTTCCGCGGGTCGGAGGAGGCGCCTCTCGAAAGCCGCTGCCTCTTGCCCGCTGGCGGTGAGGGTAGAGGTGTCTGGGCGCGACTCCCCGCGGCAACGCCCTCAAGCTCTGGGCCATCATCTTCTTGCTCCTCAGCAGCCTCCTCGCCGCCGCCCGCCTTGTCGTCCTTAGCTCTCTTGAGGGTCTTCTCTCTGAACATAGTAAATGGGGTGAGGCCCTTTACGAGTGCTGCGGCTGCGCCGCTCTCGGACAATGCCACCGCACTCGCGTGGGCGAACGCCTCCGTGGCGTGGCTGTCGTAGAGCAAGGCGCGCGCAGTCAGGAAGGTGTTAGCAAGCGTTACCAACTGCGACTGGCTGATCTCTACCTTGCGGAAATGCTTAGTCTCGGGATCAGAAAGAAAGAGGTACAGCGTATCTTCCTCGTTGGCGTCCCGCATCGAGGGGTGCGCGATCTTCAGCTGCGCCTTCAACATTGGCTTGGACAACCGAGCGACTCCGCAACTGGCACGCATCTCGCTCTCCGTCCACGCGTCGAACTTGTAGTAAACCTCCACAACGCTCTGCGTGCCCGTGCTCACGTTCTTGTCGCCGAACTGGAAGGTCGGGTTCTCGAAGGAGTCATCATGGAGCTCCATCTGTGTCTTGCGAGCCTGCTCGGTCTTCTTCCTGCAGTCGCCGCCCTTGTGATAATCCTTCGCGAACAGCTCCCACGTGTCGTGCATCAGCACGCGCGCGCCGAGGAGGTAGCACTCCTCGCACGCGTCGCCGATGGGGGTCACCACGGGCACGCCAGCGCCTGAGGTAGATTTCTCAGTCATTGCCCACTTCACATCCTGTAATAGAAAAGGACAAGGATAAGAGAAGTGACGATGAGGGACGAGGATATTGGAGGATTTGAGGAGGTTAAGAGGAGGGACAATCCTTGAGGTTCGACGTCCGCTCGCAACATGCACACGTGCACGTCGATTGGCCCGCTGTTTTTCTCTGTCTTTTCACTGGAGACAACTCTGGCCCACCTAGAGCGGGTTTGCCGCCGCAGCGACCCCTCGCGCCACTCGAAGCTGCTCCTGCTCCGCGGCCCTTCTGCTCCTTCTTACCCGCCATGGCGAACACCGCAAGCGGAAGGATGGATCCAAGGTATTCGAATCAAACTGGCCTCGCGAGTACCGCTAGCGCAACTGACTCTGGTCAAAATGGCCTCGACGAGGTGGGGGTGGACACTGGTATATACACGCGCACCGTGCCAGCCCACCAGCCCCAAGAGGCCCCACATCGTTGATGTTCATTCTGCTTGTCCCAAGGCCCCAAACCGCCGAGGCTTCCCAAGAAGGCCCCAAGAGGCACAAATCGTCGATGCTTCCCAAGAGCCCAAGAGGTCATACATCGCTGATGCTTCCAAAGGCCCCAAGAGGCCCAAACCGTTGATGTTCATTGTCTTTTTCCATGTGTTCTCGCGTTTGCTCGCTATGTTGTTCCATTGTGCTTTCCCAACGCGTAAAAAAACAAACGCCGATGGTTTTTAAGCTTGCATGTGTTTTTCAAGGGTTGGGGGCCGAAACAAAACAATACTTTTCAACCACCGAAAAAAAAAACAGCTCACGAGAGACCCCAAGGAGGGGCCCTATGGGGGGAACGCGAACTGACAATTCGAGACCTGTGCACCAGGAAGCCCCCAGGAGGCGTGAGGAAGCCCCCAAGAGAGCCCAATATGCCCCCAGTGGCCCAAGAGGCCCCACGAAGCCCCCAATATACAGAAAAAGAAACCCCAAGGAGCCCCCGAACGGCCCCAAGAGGTGTCAGAACTGCCTCCAAGAGGCCACCGAGATGCCTCCCAAGATATCCACACAAACCTCCAAGAGGCCTCTAACCCAGAACCCAGGCACAGTGGCGGGATTGGCCGAAGGCCACTAGATAATTACACGAACAAGATGCGAACCATGGCTGGCATTCAGCACCACATAGATTGCACCCAGTTGTCGTCGTCGTCACCGTCGTCTTCGTATTCGTCAGCAACCTGTCTTCCGTCGTCGTCGTCGTATTCATCTGCCGCCGTCGTCGTCGTCGTCTTCATCGTCATGTCGTCGTCGTCGTCGTCATCGTCATCGTCGTCGTCGTCGTCATGTCGTCGTCGTCGTCATGTCGTCATCGTCATCGTCGTCGACTTCGTCCGCGTCGTCGTTTTCGTCGTCGTCATCGTCGTCGTGTCATCGTCGCAGACTGACGCATCGAGAGTTTTTGTTTGTTTTGTTTTCTGTTTGTTCAATCGGCTCAGGGCTGCGAGAGTTGCTCGTGGCTCGCTGCCGCTAGCATATGGGGCCACGCTTGTGGCTGCTGACATGGAGGCCACGCTTGTGGCTGCTGACATGGATGAAGTCGCCCACGTGGACGGCGTAGAATGCGTAGACGTGGAAGTCGCAGACTGCTAACATGGAAGAAGTCGCATGGCTAAAGGGAAACTTCCTGGCTATCGGGCGGCAGGGTACCTGGCTCAAGGGTATCCGCTGGCGGCAAGGTATCTGGCTGAAAGGCATCTCCTGGCGGCAGGGTACTTGGCTGAAGGGCATCCGCTCGCTGCTGCTCTCCGATAGGCCCTCGCTGCAAGACAAACCCCTTCCATTTGGGACGCGGCGACCTTATAATTGAACTGGCGTTCGAAAGTTGAGGCACTGGAAACCCTTGGCCGTCGTCGCCCAATGAGTCCTCCACAACGGTGGCAGCTTCAGCAGCAACATGACCCTGGAATGCTGCTTGACTCTCGACGGGCAAGAGTGGAGTGGTGGAAGGCACAGGAACGGTGTCAAGACCAAACTGACTGCCCGTGGCGGATGGAACAGGATGGAAGCCCGCCGCCTTCGGCGCGTTCTCGACCTGGGCTGACTCATGGTGGAGGCCCACCGCCTTCGGCGCGTCCTCGACCTGCTGCGGCTGACCCCACGCCACAGAGTGGGAGTTCACCGTCGGCTCGCTCGGCGTGCCCTTCGTCTCCTGCTCGACCACGTAAGGAACGCCCACGACCTCCACATCACTCGATGACTCGCCGTCCTTGCCCTTCGTCTTGAGCTTCTTCGCCGCTGGCCCTACCTGGTGCATCGGCCTCGCCTCCCGAACTTGCGGCCTGGCCTCCCGATCCTGCCTCCTCGGGAGCTGGCGGCGCTCGCACAGGTCCGCTAGCTGTAGAGCTCTTTGTCACAAGCTCAATCTCGGCTGGCACACTGAAGTTCAGTGTGCCCTGCAAGTGTTCGGGCGGATCTTCGCACAGCAACTGCAGGCGCAGGGTGTGGCCCTTGACGTTGTGCAAGCGTGGGGGCGGCGTGCTTGCGCCATGTTCAGGAAGAGACATCGAAGCCGACCGACTGCGTGTGAAGTGATACCAAGAACACAAATGCAATATACATATAGAAATCAAAGATGTCTAGCCGCCCAAACTGCTGTAAGCTCAAATTGCTGTGGGACAACAATATTCTGAGTTGGACTGAGAGATTGCTGAGCTGGAATGAGCTGGACTGTCAGGCATACGAGAGTCTCAGCTAAGCCAAGCTGCGCTCCTGACG